GGGTCCCGCGCTTCCTGACCCGGCCCAAGGCGTTCATGGTGTCTGTGGGGAAGGATGCCACCCTCAGCTGCCAGATTGTTGGGAACCCCATCCCAGTGGTGAGCTGGGAAAAGGATAAACTTCCAGTCCAGTCTGGGGGAAGGTTTAAAACCACAGAGGATGGGGATTTGTATCGGCTAACCATCTACGACCTGAGCCTGGAGGACAGTGGCCAGTACATCTGCCGGGCCAAGAACACCATCGGGGAAGCTTTTGCTGCTGTCAGCATCAAAGTGGGACAGGAGACCACAGTCACAGAGTCGGCTCCTTACTTCATCCAGAAACCTTCCAACATCAAAGTAACCTTGGGAGAAGATGCCATGTTCAAGTGCAAAGTGCAGGGCAGCCCTCCCCTGTCTGTGAACTGGGAGAAGGATGGGAGATACCTGAGGAACAAGGCGGATGCTGGGCGCTTCCAGATCGAGTCTGCCGGGGAATCCAACGCTCTCACCATCCAGTGTGCCCAGCTGGGGGACAGTGGCACCTACACGTGCCGCGCAGAGAACCTCATCGGCTCCGCCAGCGCCTCGGCCGCGCTGGTGGTGGAAAAGCACGGCTCCTCCAACCCGGACAGCAGCTGTGGCAAGACGGCCTCCTTGCTGTCCCACCTGCAGAAGAGGCGCGAGGAGATCAGGAAGACGGACATCTCCCACACAACTCTTGACTCAACCTCTTCCCAGTCGTACTCGGCGGTGGAGGGGCTGTCCAGCATTGGCTACAGCCTGTGCAGGGATTACGAGCGGGCGGCAGGACTGACCAAAGGGGCTCGCAACGCCACGTTCGGGGCTCTGACGCGCACCTGCAGCGTCACCGAGGGCAAGCACGCCAAGCTGAGCTGCTACGTGACCGGCGAGCCCAAGCCCGTCATCGTTTGGAAGAAGGACAATGAGGTCATCGTGGAAGGCCGGCGGCACGTCATCTACGAGGATGACCAGGAGAACTTTGTGCTGAAGATCCTCTTCTGCAAGCAGACGGACAACGGGCTGTACACCTGCACGGCCTCCAACCTGGCGGGGCAGACCTACAGCTCCGTGCTGGTCACCGTCAAAGGTGGGTGCTTGTGGGTCTTGCCAGGACACAGCCTTGAGTTGGGGGTTTGAGCAAAACTTCTGCCTCCAGACTGTGCAGGGGAGCGTGTTTAGATGTGAGTAAAACCCTCCTGGTGGAAAGGGCTTTGAATAGGAGGCCTGAGGAGAGAATCCCACTGCTGGTGGTTTTAGGAAGGGCAGTAAGAGGTGCCAGGCAGGGGTGATGATGTACAACTGACTGGCTGTGGGGATGCACCACATCCCTAAGGCTCCTGTCAGTCCTGGTTTTACAGTGGTGTAACAGATCCCTCCCCATGCTCTGGGTCAGTGACTGCCAGTGCCCTGTTTCACCCTCCAGGCTTTAATCACATCTGGGTTTGTGTTCACCATGGGGGTTACTCACACATGCCAATTGCAGCAGTAGTGGAAACCCCTCCCTACAAGATGAGCGTGTCAGGCTACCTTGGATCCCCTGGGGGACCAACTCCCACTCCAATTACAGTCCAGCTCAGTTTTCCTTACAGTGACCCACCAGCAGCCTTGTTCTTGCCAGGCTCTTCACCCTTTTCCCTGGAGTTGCTGGATAGTCTGTGTTCCTTGAATGCTCCCAGAAAACCTCCCAGGTCCAGGATGCCTTTATTTGCCACAGTCAGTGGTGAGGAACTTGCCTTCAGAGGGTCACTCCACTCTTGTGAAGGTCAGACCAAGTTCTTCAGTGTGGCAACCAAAGTTTTTATAGAATCCAGAATGGTTTGAGTTAGAAGAGATCTTAAACATCTCATTCCAACCTCCTGCCACAGGCAGGGACACCTTCCACCAAACCATGTTGCTTCAAGCCCTGTCCAACCTGATCTTGAATAATCCAGGAAGCTCTAAATTTTCCAGCTGCTCTCGCATTTGGCAAGGGGACAGCAGGCACTTTGCAACCCAGGCAGCACCTGTAAATGAGCTGTCAGAGACAAAGGATTTTGCCACTCAAGTGGTAGAACTGATGATTTTTCACTGGCAGCAAAATAAATTAGAAATCCAAATAATTAGGAATTATCTGTTTCATACTCATCTTTAAGACTCTCAGGGGTTATTTGATTTTATGTTTTCCCTTTTTTGGACATCTCCTTTTACACTCAGAGCCTTTTCCAGCAGTGGTTCAGTCCCTGTGTCCATCAGTGACACCTGATCCATGGAACTCACTGGCACTCGTCCCACCCATTGCTGTCCCTTGGAGGTGCTGAGTGCTGTGGGGAAGGGCATTTGTCCTGTTCCATAAAGCTGTGATTACCTCATGAGCTGGGACTCGGAGCTGAAGATCAATCCTGGCCCTTGGGTGGGTGATCACTTTTAGGATGGATCAGGCTCAGTTCCCTGCCCAACACCTTGCTAAAGCAAACACCCCCTGCTCTGGCCGTGCTTATCTCACTGCACTCCTGGCTGCGACCTGTTCCAAAGGAGGTGGGGAAAGCAGGAGAAGCAGCCAGTCTGGGAGCACCATGGGAAAAGGTTATTGATCTATGTCCCTTGTCCAGAGCTGCCTGTGAGTCAGGAGGAAATGTTTATGGATTGTTTCTGTTTTACGCTGGACCACGTTTGGCTCCCTGTCCAAGGCTGCCATGGAAAATCTGCGTGTGTTGGTTATAATTATGCCCTGATACATGACTCTCCTGTGTGTCACCAGAAGTTCTTCTCAGCCCTCCCAAGACAGGTCAGGATGATGCAGCAGTGAGAAAAGCTTTCAGTTCTGTTGTTTGTGTCACTGGTGATGCCATTGGTCCATCTGCTATCAGCCTCAGGGAGGGAGATCTTCTTGCCATGGAGACTTCTCTTTGCTCAGCCTTGTAGGGGAGGTTGAATTCTCCAAGCAGCCCCCCTTAGAATCATAGAATCAGAATAGTTTGGGCTGGGAGGGACCTTAAGGCACATCTGGTTCCCACTCCCTGCCATGGGCAGGGATGGCACTCACTAGATCAGGTTGTTCAGAGCCCTGTTGAAACTGGCCTTGAACGCTTCCAGGGATGGGACATCCATAGAAAGCCTCCTGTAATCTGTCAGTCTAGATCCTAGGGACCTAAGGACCCAGGAATCCAACATTTGTAAACACTTTGCCTTAAAGATCACTAAGCTAGGAAAAGAAAAAAAAAAAAAAAAAGGATTTTTGAGCCATTCCTAAATGAGATTTGGTGAATCAGGCTTAAATCTCAAAGGCTACAGGGCAGAGAATCACTCTCCTAAATAAGGAAAACTGAAGCCTTGATTAGATTCAGAAATATGCCTGGAACAGAGATAAAATCACAGTCTATACACTGAAATGTGAGCTGTAAAAGGAGTTGGGGAAATTCTTCCCAAGAATAAACCTTTAACAAATCAAGGAGTGGGGAGGATGGGAGGGACATAAATAACCAGCTTGGGTTTCCTGAAGGCTTTGGAGATTTCTCTAGGCTGTGTGCAAAGTTGGTTAGAGCAGAATTCAGGTCTCTACCCTGGGCCAAGCCCTGAGTAAAGTAACCAGATACTGGGTGAGAAGGTTAAAGGTTACAAGCCAAATAGGATGGAGATGGGAAAAACACCCTAGTGCTGAGGCCACTTTATTCTCCCTCTGATCAGATGTGATTTTGGATGGTCACTGTCATGACAGTCACATTGGAGATCTGAAAGGGAATTGCAAGTTGAGGAATGAGGAGGTAGAAAGGAAATTTGGAAAGCACAGTAACTAGGGGGATCAAAGGATCAAGATGGTGGAAGCTTGCCAATCCACCTTTAGACAGCTCTTACTGAGAGGATTTTCCATATTCTTACCCTTCCTGGATTATTTTCATTAGGCAGAGGGAAAACTTGCCTCTGGAATAATAAATTCCAGAAGAGGAAATGTAGGCAAGTGAAAAAGTGAGGTCTGGAGGACAGATGTGCCTTGATAAGGTTAAAAAAACCTTGGGCTTCTTTGCAGGCTGCACCTATTCTTAGCAAAATATGTGTTAGCAGGACTTGCTTTTTAAAAATGACATCATCTCATTGCCAGTTTGCTTGCTATGGACCAAACAAAAAAGCCTATGACAGACTGGAGAAATATCTCCTCGGAGTAAGCTGCAAAATTAATCTCTGATCTAAGTTCTTGCAGTTTCCTGCTAATTCCATGAGCTGCTCTTGCTCTGTGCTCCCTCAGTGTTTTGCTCTGCTGTGCCTCACGTTTTTCCCAGTGGGCAGGTTTTGGCAGCTCTTATTTTCTCTCTTATTTGCACCTTTCTGACCTGGTGTGGTGCTGGTTGTGGGTCAGATGATTTGGGATTTTTTGGGATGATTTGGGATGCCTGCTCTCAGACCTGTGGTCCTTCTGACCCAACTCAGCCCCCTCTGCATGACCAGGCACATTCTAGACCTTGCAAAGATCAGGAAGGAGCTCAGGAGGAAGAGGCTGGTGGGTTTTGAAACCACTCTCACATCTCCAAAAGCCCTGGGCTGGGTTCATCCCAGGCTTCATTTCACTTTATCAGCTACTGTTGCTCCGCAGCTCCATTCAGAGGGAGATAAGACGTGTGTGCACATGTCAGCAGGACGAAAGCAGAGTTGTTTTCAGGGGATATCTGTGACCCCAAGCTGCCAAAGATAGCCTTGCACTGCCTTTCTCTGGCTGGGAGAGCTGTGCTGTAACTGCTACATGTTCATGAGAGTCAACCAACCCTTCTGTGCTTGAATGTTTAAGAGCTTTTTCCTGGAATAGCTTTTTAATTTTTTTTTTTCACTTTAGGTACTGCTTAGTGACTGTAAAGGGAGAGGGGTTAATGATATGGCCAGCTGCTCCAAGTATGGGAATACACTTGTGTGCTTCTCAGGTGCAGCTTGTGTTTCTTTTTGGCCCTTGTGCAGGTCTGTGTGTTCCCAGTGCCAGCTCCAGCCTCTCTCTGATCAAAACTTGCTTGGCCTCACAGAATCCCAGAATGGTTTGGCTTGGAAAAGACCTCAAACCTCATCTCCTTCCACCCCCTGCCATGGCAGGGACACTTCTACTATCCCAGGCTGCTCCAAGCCCTATCCAACCTGGTTTTGGACATTTCCAGGGATCCGGGGCAGTCTGTGCCAGGGCCTCCCGACCCTCAGAATAAAGAATTTCATCAAAATATCTTATCTAACACTGAAAAAAAAATGAGGAAATAAAAAAAAAGAAAAGGATGATCACCATCTGGAATGTGGGCAGATCTGTGGAACCATAGCTGAAAGCTTTTCAAGGCAAGACTTTGGCTTGCCTTAAACTGAGGTGTATTAAAGCATAATACATATATATATATATGTATATTTTTTTTTTTAAATGACCAAGTTGACATGTTGAGTTAGTGTCACCTTCCTGTTCCTGGACATGTTGTATGGGTTCCCAGTCAGGTTTTAGCCTCAGGATAAAAACCAAGGTGTTTGCAGGCTGGTACTGGCATTGCTCCCTCCAGATATCCCTGGCAAGCCTTTAGAGCCTGGTTACTTATTGAAACAGAAAGAGGGGAGGTTTGTATCAGCTGTTAGGAAGAAATTCTTTACTGTGAGGGTGGTGAGGCAGGACGGAGTCACACAAACCAGCTGGGAGGTGAAGGTACATATCAGGGCATGATCTCTCACCAAGCATGAGCCATGTCTCAGCCCTGGCTAATCCAAGTGTGTGACCTGGCTGTGGCACCAGTCCCTGACTGCTGCCTGTCCCCTTCAGCCCAGCTCCCCTTTCTCCACTTTAGGGCTAGGCTGTCAGGGTGATGTCACAGCGCAGCTGTCGCTGGAATTCATTGTTCACTTCATGAAATGACTTCCCTCACTGTCATGCAGCTGCTTTGTGTGTTTGATCTATGCTTGGGTTTGGCCCTCAGCCAGAGCACTGCAGCCCCACTGCTGGAGGAGTTGGGAGATGTTCTCCATTTCTCCATTTCTCCATTTCTCATTTCTTTTGCTGTCATTAATGCAGAGCCTTTGGTGCTGGTGGGGAGAATGCAAAACTCCTCCTTTTGTGCTTTCCCCCACATCTGACCGTGCACAGCCACCTCACAGCTCTGTACCCTGTCAGATCACTCAGCTGGGCTTATTTCTGCTGTAAGACCCTTAAAACATTGGTTCTCACCTGGAATTTCTGTCCTGTGCATGACCAGCTTGTTTTTCATTAAACCAATTCCAGAAGGATTCCTTTTAAGGCTTTTCCTCCAACCTGGCCTTAACCATTCCCAAGGATGGGACAGCCACAGTTTCTCTGGGTAATTTGTGTTAGGGCCTCACCACCCTCACAGAGAAGAATTTCTTCCTAAATTCCCATCTAAACCTACTCTCATCATAAACTTTTATTCCTCCTTTCTGCTTTCACCCTCTTAAGAACCCACCATACCCTTCAAGGCAAAGCTGAAGGACCTGGAAGTGCGGGAGAAGGAATCTGCCACCTTCCAGTGCGAGGTGCCCGTTGCTGGGACAGAGACAGCTTGGTTCAAGGAGGAGACCAAGCTGCAGCAGAGCAAGAAGTACAACATCGAGGAGGAGGGCACGTACCGCCGGCTCACCGTGCAGAACGTCACCACGGACGACGATGCTGTCTACATCTGTGAGATGAAGGAAGGCAGCAGGACCATTGCAGAGCTGTCTGTCCAAGGTAAGAAGGGCTCGTGCTGCTTCAGCTTGGCCAGAAATGTGGGATTCATATGTGACACTCCAGATGTGGCCTTGTGAGCTGGGTTTAAGCGTCCAGGTGGGCACTGAGGAGGAGCAGAGTCCCTTACGGTGTGAGGATGTGGTCAGTGGGTCCCTGGGTGTCTCTGGACACAGCAGGGACAGGTTGTGTTGTGCCCAGTGTGAACCCATGCTGAAAGAAGCTTCCTTCAGCTGCAGCCTGACCCTGTAGACTTCTCTTTGATGCCTTGGAGTGGCTACCTAAAACAGGCTAGAAAAAATGAAGAGAATAGAGCAGGTATTTATTAGAAGCCTTCAATAGGTGCACCTTGAGCAGTTAAAGCAGTTAAAAGAGGCTACACCCAAGATGGGCAGTGGTCACAAGTTTTTCACGCAGCTATAAGTTGGGTCCATTTGCATACCAGGCATTAATCCTCCAATTATAGTTTCAGGTAATGAAGTCGTTTACTCCAAGTTTGCCCCCCAGGTTCACTGCTGTCTATATCTCTTGGGGCTTGGGACAGTCCTTGAGTTTCAGGCCCAGAGAGGAATTGTTTTGTCCGAATAAAACAGGAGAACAGCAGCTGACAGGCTATGGAGTTTTAGGGTTATGCACAAAAGCAGCACAGGATCTGAAAAACATAAAAGCTAAATCCTGAGGCATCACCTTAACATGGCCCCAATCACCAGATGTGTTCCCTGGCACTGTCACACACATCTTGTCCAGTGAACAGAGTGGTGACTCTTGTCCAGGAGTGGTGCTGACCACAATGGAAAGGGGGTTTAGCAGATGTGTGCTGCAGGCTGCAGTCAACACCAGCATGATTCAAGTTGGAAAACACATCCACGCTCCAGATCCTGGGCAGCTGGAGCTGTTCTCTGCAGTTTGAAAGGACCAAGTGTGGATGGCCATGTCCAAGTGTCCTGAGCCTGGTGGTTCACACTGAAGTGGGAGTAGGTGTAGCTGGGTGTCTCAGTGAGCAGACACAAACCCCAGAGCTGCAGGCACTGGAGACTGCCACAGCTCTACAGGATTAATGTTTTCCTGTCTCATCTGAAGCCTGAAGATACTCCCAGTGAAACCAGAAGGAATTCTTCATAAACAACTTGCTACAAGACAGCTGGGTGATGTGAATCCTCATGCCAATTCCTTTTTGTACCACCAGTAAAGAGCTGGAAGTGCAAGAGGTGGATGCAGAAGGGAAAATTTAGTGCAGAGACTCAGAAGAATTCACACTGACATCTTTTTGTTGCACCTTCCTTAGGTCTGGACCAGCCCACCCCGTAAATGTGTTTGGTTCCAATAGGACAGCTGGTATTTTTTCACTTGTTTGTGCTATAATGGTATGTTCCATCCAAAAGAGAGTGACTGAGCCAGGTGGAGCTCTCTGGAAAGGAGGCAGAGCCTTCCTGGGACAGCCTTGTGCCTGCCCTGGGAGGGGACTGGAGAGAGCAAGGTGGGGTTGGGACAATGTGAGAGCTAAAGGGCTGTGGGATGGAGACACTGCTGGGGGCAGAGAGGTCAAGGAGGAGGATTAGCAGAGAATCAGGTCTTGAATCTTGTGGTGAACCCTGTGCCTGACCTGTTAGTTCATGAGGGAGTTCAGCATTGCTGTTCATTTAACAGCTTCTTTCACCTCTCAGGGACTGCTCTGGAGCTGGAGCAGTCACTGTTGGTCATTTGGGGTGGTCTCCTTGTGGTTTGTCCCATCCTTTCTGTGAATAGTCACATCTTACAGCTTTGGGGTTGTCCTAGTAAGTGATGATAATCACAGTCACTTGGAAAGGACATGAATTCAGTGTGGATTCCTGTGTTGACACCAAAAAGAAACCTGAGATTGTTGGTGTCTTTCTCATTGGTTCAGGTAACTTCTGTGTCTGCTGTGCTGGTTATCTGACTTAGTTTGATGGAGGTGAAATCCTAAAGGCAGAGGAGAGACCTGTCTGGCCTGAGACTGACCAACTTCAGCAAAGTTTTAATTTGAATTCCCAGCATATGTGGGCAATAAAAGCTGTCAAATCTGTTCTTCTGCAAAGCCATGTATATTTTGTGTTTGCCCAGAAACTGGCTCCGCTTGCCAGATAGGAAACCTGAGTGCTGCAGTCAAAAAAGATTTGCTTTTCTCTCTTTGAAGGCCAAAATGAATCCTTGGGGTCACCTGCTGTGTGTGACTCAGAGCCTTGGAGATGATTTTCATGGTGTCTATAATGTTCTGATTGGGTGTGGACTGGTCCTGTTTCTGCATGGTCCAGCGCTGCCAAAGCCTTTTAACATCTGCAATTTGCTGACTGTGATTATTTTGTCATTTGAAGGGAACATCATAAAAAAACTGCCCCGGAAAACCGCAGTGTTCATCAAGGACACAGCCACCTTCTGCGTGGAGCTGGACAATGACTGCCAGAACACCCGGTGGCTGAAGAACAAAGAGGAGGTGAAGCCCAGCGAGCGAATCTCCATCACACGCTCTGGCAAACAGCACACTATGACCATCAGGGAGTGCAAGATGGAAGATGCTGGAGAGATTGCCTTCCTGGCTGATGAAAGCAGGACTTCTACCCAGTTCACTGTGACCAGTAAGATTCTCTTTGGTTTGGCCTTGGTGTTGTGTCTTCCTGATAGTAGATCCACCTTATTTTTGTTTTTTTTCTTCTACCTTCACTCAGAGTCAGGATTGAAACTTGAGATGGATTTTTGTGTTTGGACTTGGCTGTTTATAAAATCTTATCTATAGAGAGTTCTTCAGCACTTCTAGTTAACAAGCTAGAAAATGTTGGTGTATCTAGCTAGTTACAAGGTCATTTAAAGGCTAGCTAGCCAATTAAGAGCTAACATTTATATTATTTATA